TGAAACAACTAAAATGCCAAAAAATAAATAAATACAGATTTAAGACCGAAGCATGGTTACATACACTGTGTATTAAACAACATGTAGTAAGATATGATTTAATTGTTATTTCACTATTAAAAAGTGATAAGCGAAGCAGGTGAAAATGTATGATGGTTTATACGTAAATAATAAATATAAAATATTTCTATGTATATAACATTGTAGTAGATATATTGTTCAAAATAGTCAAATCCACTTTAAACACACTGCTTCTTTTGTAGAAGAATTTGGTGGCACTTTTGGCAATGTCAGTTCCTAACAATGTCCCAGAGAATGTGCAGATATTGTGTTTGTGTGGATGTAATGATAGTATAGGAGGAAATATACTTGTCTAATGTATTGTGTGCTTATAGCCCATCCCTGTCCCTTTCGAATTTCTAAAATGCAGTCATACTTTGACCTACAAAGACATATTTGAATTGTTGAAAGAGGAACGTGGGCTGTCAAATACTGTTTCTATGCAAAAATGCAGGTGGTTGAGTAGAGCCCTGGCAGATGAATATACTATTTATTTTGCAAACCTTAAGATAAATGGTGCGGTATGGTAAAAAAATAAAATAATGTAGAACAATATTTAGTCATATTTAGCATTTTTTAGGTGAAGATATTACTCAAAAAATGTCTTCTGATCATCTGCTCTATAATAGTAATGCACAAACGGAATCTGCTTATATTTAGAAACACATGTTTGTCACAATATCTGGACTGGGTTGATGTATGAACTCAAATTTGGGCAATCCAAAACATATCTTCATCTTGCCACAGCCCGTCGATTCAAGTGACATACTGCTTTCCTCTTACATTCTGGTAAATGTACTGTCATGCCTTTTATTGATTGCTCTCTCTAGGATAGCATGAAATTTAGGCTGAGAAACATTAAAGCAAGTGCAAACCATAATGCTTCTACCACTATGTCAGGGTTGAGGTGAAGTGTTGGGGTTGGTGTCCAGTGATTTTTTTTTTATTTCAAACATTTCATTGCATGCTTCAGAAAAGAAATCCTACTTTTGTCTTATCACAAGATATTGTATCAGAACTATTGTAGAACATCGACGTAGGGTTTCGCAAGCTTAGGATATGCAGCAAAGTTTTTTTGTAGAGCAGTAGTTTCCTTGGTAGTGTTTAACCATTAGCACAATTCTAGTATAAAGATTTGACAGATTGTCTCTGCCATCTTTAGATGTTGCTGTAGAATTTGTTTGGCCTCAGTTACCATATCGACATGTGTGATTGTTGTGATATTTCAGGGTAGAAAATCCTAAAGAGAGTACTATATCACTTTGTACCTAAGCATTGAATTTCTTGTCTTACTGATAATTGATTAACTTTCTGGTCCATATAGATACTTTAATGCTGCTTTAGTTTTATACATTATGCATTTCTAGAATTCCTCAAAGTTTAGCAGAGATTGGCAATAAAATTGGCCATCAAAAGTCTCCGCAAACTAGATTCCATAAGTTGTCTGTTTCTGGAAATTGCATGTCTTTATGGGAAATTTTATTGGGACTATCAAAATGTGACGTAAATCCATAAAATATTCATGATTTGAACCGTGAAAGCTGAACTGGACATGTTTCTGAACATTACAAGATAAATCTCTGTTTTCATAGTAGTATATCATATGCACTGCATACTCAAGATAAATAGCTGTTTACTTTTGGTGAAAGTTTCAGCAAAACAAAAATGAAAAAATAAATTTTAACCTTCAAAGCAATAATAGACAGAAGCGGAAATGAACTTTCCTAAACTAGAGGTAGGTTATAAAACAGAACTTTTAATATAGTTAATTGTTAAAAACCACACACATGATACAAAACTTAAATATGTGATGTAAACACAAAAATGTGAGGAAACGTGAAAAAACAATACTAAAAAGGTCAGTAATAATGTATAGAAATCTATATATTTAGGATGCACATACAATGGATATGAGTTTGTAAGCTGTTGAATAGAGTTAAGTGAACCCGGACTGTAAAGTTCGGATTCGTACCGAACATTAGGTTTTTTGGACCCCGGACCCGAACACGGACATATCACTGTATGTTCGGGTTGGAGTTCGGTGTTCAGCGATTTAATGGCGCGTTTTGAAATGCTGCAGGGCAGCCAATCAACAAGAGTTTGTCTTGTGCCCTTAGAAGCCATCACAGCCATGCCTACTAATGGCATGGCTGTGATTGGCCAGTGCAGCATGTGACCCAGCCTCTATATATAAACTGGAGTCGCGTAGCGCCGCACGCACATGTGGTCTTATTAGTGTAGGGAGAGGATGCTGCCGCTGATAGGGACAGCTTAGGAAAGAATTCTGCAAGCTAGTACATTAGTGGGGTGGGGTGCACTTCATATCTAAGAGTCAAATAGAAGCTTCAAATACCGCGGTTACATCAGAGTTTTAAAAAGTCATTTTTTTTTTGTGCTAAATAGTACATTATTGGGATAGTACATTAGTGGGGTACACTTTATATCTGAGAGTGAAATAGAAGCGTCAAATACTGCTGTCACATTGCAGTTTTAAAACTTAAAATTATTTGGGTGCTAAAAGTACATTAGTGGGGTGCACTTCATATCTGAGAGTCAAATAGAAGCGTCTAATAGTGTGCTTACAGCGCAGTTGTAAAAATTCAAATTTTCTGGGTGCTAATCTGCTAAATAGTTCATTTCGGGGCCTGCTCTTCATATCTGAGAGTCAAATAGAAGCGTCTAATAGTGTTCTTACAGCGCAGTGGTAAAAATTCTAATTTTCTGGGTGCTAATCTGCTAAATAGTACATTTTGGGGTGTGCACTTCATATCTGAGAGTCAAATAAAAGCATCTAATAGTGTGCTTACAGTGCAGTTGTAAAAATTCAAATTTTCTGGGAGCTAATCTGCTAAATAGTACATTTTGGGGCCTGCGGTGCACTTCATATCTGAGATACAAATCGAAGCGTCTAATAGTGTGCTTACAGCACAGTTGTAAAAATTCTAATTTTCTGGGTGCTAATCTGCTAAATAGTACATTTTGGGGCCTGCTCTTCTTATCTGAGAGTCAAATAGAAGCGTCTAATAGTGTGCTTACAGTGCAGTTTTAAAAATTCTAATTTTCTGGGTGCTAATCTGCTAAATAGTACATTTTGGGGCCTGCAGTGCACTTCATATCTGAGAGTCAAATTGAAGCGTCTAATAGTGTGCTTACAGTGCAGTTGTAAAAATTCTAATTTTCTGGGTGCTAATCTGCTAAATAGTACATTTTTTGGGGCCTGCGGTGCACTTCATATCTGAGAGTCAAATCGAAGCGTCTAATAGTGTGCTTACAGCACAGTGGTAAACATTCTTATTTTCTGGGTCTTAATCTGCTAAATAGTACATTTTGTGGCCTGCTCTTCATATCTGAGAGTCAAATAGAAGCATCTAATACTGCAGTTACAGCGCAATTGTAAACATTCTAGTTGTTTTGGTGCTAAACTGCTAAATAGTACATTTTGGGGTCTGCTCTTCATATCTGAGAGTCAAATACAAGCATCTAATAGTGTGCTTACAGTGCAGTTTTAAAAATTCTAATCTTCTGGGTGCTAATCTGCTAAATAGTACATCTTGGGGCCTGTGGTGCACTTCATATCTGAGAGTCAAATAGAAGCGTCTAATAGTGTGCTTACAGCGCAGTTGTAAAAATTCTAATTGTTTTGCTGCTAATCTGCTGCTTATATTGGAGTTTTAAAATGTAATTTTTTATTTTTTTTGGTGCTAAATAGTATATTTGGGGTGTTCACTTCATATCTGAGAGTCAAATCGAAGCGTAACTTTGATTCGAATTTACTACATCGGTCACTTGTAATATTGTTTCACACCTACAACACTTGTTACACAGATCTAAGTCATAGAAAACAGATTGATATTTTCTACACTAGAAACTACCAGATAACAAGCTGCTATATTTAAACCCGTTATCAATAGCTAAGAGGTACTTAAACAATTTTGCAATTCTGGGGCAATACCCTCAGGTCAGTTTATAGGGAAAACTGTTGCCTGGATACAATTCTAAAACAATTTCCATATGTCCTTTGCAGACTTTACATGCTGTTAAAACACAGGTGCCAACTGCTGTGGCTTTCTGCAGTGTGCATACTGGCAAGGAGGGCAGGGTTGAGGAGTGGGTGGAAGATGATGTGGAGGATGATGAGGTCCTAGACCCCACATGGAATCAAGGTCATGCGAGTGACGTGTGCAGTTTGGAGGAAGCGGCGCTGGTCACACAGAGGCACCAGCACAGTATAAGAGGGAGCAGGGTGCAAAAGCGCAGCGGCCATCCCCTAGCGCTCGTCGGCATGTATTAGCTCGAGAATTACCAGTTATCCAAGTAATACATGTAGCGATCAAAGGATCCATAATAGAGTTGAGCGAACCCAAAATGCGGGTTCGTACCAGATATAACGATCCATTCGTAGTTTCACAGTCAGGTGTGCAGTCTGGTGACCAGAACCCAGACACTGTCTGGACGGCGGTTGGACGACCGGGACCCAGTATGCCTGATGTTGAAGTTAGGAGTCACAGTGTGGAATGGATTAGCAGGGTCTGGTGCAGGGTAACCACACGCCACCTGTTGTTGAGCACCAGCGTTTGTACAGCCACATACCAGGACCTTGATGCAGCTTCAGTAAAAAGAGTACTGGATACAAGAAGCCATCACCAGACTGATCCGCAACTTGGAACAGGATGTGACATTCACTGTAGTGGCTGTGCGCGCTTTTGTCGTTGTCACCCTGCTGCTGCTCACCTGTCTGTGCTGCAGCGTAACTTCGGCCTTCCCGCTCACCGCCTCATGAGATTGTGCGAGCAGCAGCAGGCGATAGTGGAGTTTCAGCTGCAGCAGGCACAGGTCAGTGGCTCTGCACCAGGCTTCCATCCAATTGATCAGAGTTAAAGGATTTCAATTGGACTCATTACAATTACAGGGCCTCTAAAGAGTCCTGTATTGTTATTTGTCGTCACTACCTTCCCGCGTCAGGAGTGGGTCATTTGCGCGCCTGCTGCCTTCCTTGCATGTCGTAGTCGTTTCTCAGGGTTCCTGTACGGAATGGAACCCTGATTCCCAGTTACCCGTGGTCACCATGGTAGGTGCAGAAACTGGCATCGAAAGTTGATATGGATGACATCCGCATGCAAAGTCGCCGCCACAGGGATGTGCGATTGGCCTGGGGTTCTCTAGAGTCAACAAAGTGCCTGCGCAATTATAATGTCAACAGCTACTCTGCAGAACAGAATTGTCTTTTTTTTATATGTCCCAATATTTTGGGGGCTACCCCAATTTAATTTATATATATATATATATATATATATATATATATATATATATATGGAAGACCCTGAGGGGTAGAAACGTCGAGGGAAGACCCTGAGGGGTCGAAACGTCGATCTGATTATGTAAACCTTCTTTTTAAATAAATAACTGTATATTGATTATAGAAGTCCTGAGAGTGCATCTCTTATTTTTGTTTATATACTCTATAACGTGGGATTGCATCAAGGCATCAAGAAACTTATTTTGAATTGGAGATAGGGTGAGTGCCAAGCTATCTGTTTTTTACATACATATATATATATATATATATATATATATATATATATATAAAAACAGTGTTGGCTACCTCATCCTCCTCCTCCACCGCTGCTTCCACCTACACCGCCACGGTCACCGCCTCCTCAACCTATGGGTCACTTAGTATAAACTATGTACACATTAGCAGAGGCTTGTGAAGGCCTTTTCTCCATGCATCAGGAGTTGAGCATTTCTCCATGCATCTGGACTGCAAGAAATGCACCGTAGGCCGCAAATGTTTCTTTTTTTATATGTCCCAATATTTTGGGGGTTACCCCAATTAAAATAAAAAATAGATATATAAAAACAGTGTTGGCTACCTCTTTCTCCTCCACCGCTGCTTCCACCTACACCGCCACGGTCACCGCCTCCTCAACCTATGGGTCACTTAGTATAAACTATGTACACATTAGCAGAGGCTTGTGAATGCCTTTTCTCCATGCATCAGGAGTTGAGCATTTATCCATGCATCAGGACCGCAAGAAATGTACCGCAGGCTGCAAATGTTTCTTTTTTTGTATGTCCCAATATTTTGTGGGCTACCCCAATTTTAAAAAAACAAAACATAAAAAGCAGTGTTGGATACCTCCTCCTCCTCCTCCACCGCCGCTTCCACCTACACCGCTACAGTCATCGCCTCCTCAACCTATGGGTCAAGTAGTATAAACTATGTACACAATAGCAGAGGCTTGTGAAAGCCTTTTCTCCATGCATCAGGAGTTGAGTTCAGTTTGAACAATGAAAGAGAATACCCTGCACTCCAACTCTCTCTCAAATGGATAATTCTGGTGATCCTCCTGACAGCCATGCTTTAGATTTTGATTTATGTTCTTCCAAAGCTAAAATCAAAGATTCCATCTAGTGCTATTTTATGGCTCAGCTGTATTTTTAATTTGTATGTTATTTTAAGTGATTTTCCTATCCACATTTGTTTGCAGGGCACTTACCCCCATTTCACTTGCTTTTGCAGGGCTCTTTCCAGTAGGTTTTAGAGGCATTTTTGTGGCCAAAAGTTCGATTCCCCATTGACTTCAATGGGGTTTGGATTCTGGGTCAAATTCGGGGTCAAGTTCGAGCCCGAACCCCAGGTGTCCACTCAACTCTAGTTTTATCATCTTTCTTGAATAGTAAATTAGTAAATGGCCTTAATAATTAGATTATCATTATTGGAGAGGTGGTGGGATTTTACTTCTTCCAAACCATCAACATTATTTGAGGGTTCTGTTCCTTCTTCCCATACCCATGGAAATTTGTGTGCATGTAATGTTTGCATGAGTGCATGTGAATGTGTGTGGTGTACCTACTGCAGCACGGTATTTATTGTATTGTGTGTGTGCATAATGTCAGACATTTTATGCCAGAAACAATTATTTCTATAATACGTATGTACAGCTAGCATAGAGAGGAGAGAGGCAGCATATGTATTAATGAAGTCAACATAAAGTTAAGATAAAGATGTCACAAAGGAAATTGAATTATCACATCAATAAGAAATGAAAACAATTAATTATATTCTTCAATTTTAAACAACTCTTTCTTAAAACTCAAAGTTTGGTTGGACGATTGTGGGACTAAGCTGAGATTCACTTTGAATCAACAGAAAAAAATGATCACATAATGATAGATGAGAGCATGAAAATCTCCAATATACAAACCTGTATTTTCTCTCTCTTTTTGCATTTGTATTGATTTCCTAAATATTCAGCACAGCTTCATGTTAGCCTAGAAACTTTGACTTCGGATCCACCACTTAATGTACATTTTTTGAGCTTATCAACAAACTTGCTCACAAACTGAACCACAAGGGGGAGTCACCTCTGTTTACAAGCCCCTCTCCTAACCTTGAACATATACTAACAAATATTTTGTCCTAATGCACATAGTAAAGAAGAATCAGTTTTATGTTCCAGGTTTTACAAACCCCAAATTAGAGGACATATTTACTTAACTTGTTTATTCTTTAACTGAAAGAAAAATAAATAATGCTGAATTACCAAGGTGTAATTGAGAAATGTATGTTCCTTTAATTAGTTTTGTAAGATTCAGATAATAATTCAGAAAGCATTTTTTTTTTGAATATAACAACCATATGGCAAATTCCTGCTTCCAGCATTAAATCTGATTAGGGCTAGATATTTTTTTTAACATTGATAACACAGAACTACCAGATGCTATGTTGCCATCGCACATTTACATAAGCTTGATCTGCTTGTGTCCTCTGAAAATAAATAAATAAATATATAACATTTCATTATTTCGAGCAATTAAATGTTGCAAAAAATATAAAAGATGTAGAAAAAAAAGTGTGATTTCTTATTTGCATTTAAATGGAAAAAAACGTTTTATTTTTCAAAATACAAATAACAGGATACATAACATATAATAAATATAAATCTTGTCATTTTTTTTTTACTGAAAGATTTTCATTTTTAACAATAATGATAATCGTAAAACAATAAAATATATAGAATAAAAAATAAGAATACATATAAATCAAACGAATAAGATTGACAACATCTGCATTATGAAAAACATGACATAGTGTCAAATAAGGTGTAAAAGCACTTTATATGCATTGGCAATAAATTGTACACGTTACGCATACCGACAGAACAAGAGTAAAAGGAGAGTCACATAAACTACAATCCATCAAAGAAATATAAATCCAAGACATATAGTTAGTATTCTTTTGCAATGTCATTTCATTTGGTCTTTTATTCCAAAAGACTTTGGATGGTTATCTATTATGTCCTGAATTTGTAGCAGCAACAGGTTTTAGGGCAATTAAATATAATTGGGAGGCTTTTTTATAGTAATATTCCATATATTAAGCCATTACTCTAACTGAAGAAAGCTAGCTCATAATTAATTCTCATTTGTCTGTATGAAAATTAAAACGCATTATCTTCAAATTGGAGTAAAATTATTTGAACTGACAAAGTCCTAGTGCCAACGAGCTTAGGAATTCCCCGCAATTTAATTCCCAAAATAATGACCTCGCTAGTGCTTTAAACAAAGCCCACTAGATGCAAAAGCAATATTATTGAAGGTTAATAACATAATTATACTTTTCATAGTTCTTATTGTGGTATAAAATATACCTACTGTATGTTTTATATTTCCAACTACTAATAAGGTATAATAATATTAATATTAATAACGATAATAATATTAATAATAACTATAATAATAATAATAATAATAATGTATGTATTATTATTTAAAAAACCTTGTCCCAGCTTTTCCTACCCAATGATTCCATACTTGATCTTAACTATCAAACAGCACTGTCATTTTTTAGTTTTCGAATAATTTTTTTTCTGAAAAGCACATCATTCAATAAAGTATGAACAAAATGACTTTTGGAAAAAAGCGACCAAGTATGTATCTTCAACTTCTCATGCCATATCTTGACATTTTTAACAGCTGCCACTTGTGGTAGGTGATGGGAACAGGTATTGTCTTGTATGATGCACAATATACACCTCTGTCACCTCATAGCACAGTCACAAGATCATTTATAGAATATCCTACAGTTTTGTGTGATTTTCCATGTTGTACTCTCAAGCATTCACAAGAGTCCTATAGATTTTTACATCTATGCTATAGAATTTGCTCATGTAAATAAACAACCCTCCTTTCCCCATTCCCTAAAGAGGATCATGAAATTCACTTAACCCTGGTAACAAGTAGCACAAGTAGCAGGACTTAACCACCCAGTACACCGAAATCCCAAATTAACATTATCCTGTTTTCCAACCCTTGATAATAAATATTAGGGTGGAAACAGTATAACCTAACAAAATAGAAAATAATGTGACAAGAATAAAAGTACTACCTTCCAATCAATGGTAGAACATTTTCATCATAATAATTAATAAATCAATTAAGAACAAAATATGTGTAGATAGATAGATACACTGAACAAAATTATAAACACAACCCATTTTTCATGAGCTGAACTCAAAGATCTAAGACTTTTTCTAGGTACAAAAAACGCTGATTTCTCTCAAAAATTGTTCACAAATCTGTCTAAATCTGTGTTAGTGAGCACTTTTCCTTTGCCAAGATAATCAAGATGCTGATTAGACAGCATGATTATTGCAAAGGTGTGCCACAATAAAAGGCCACTATAAAATGTGCAGTTTTATCACACAGCAGTCGCAAGTTTTGAGGGAGCGTGCAGTTGGCATGCTGACTGCAGGAATGTCCACCAGAGCTGTTGCCCATGAACTGAATTTTCATTTCTCTATCATAAGCCATCTCCAAAGGCGTTTCAGAGAATTTCAGACCTCCACATCCAGCACGTTCACCTCCAAGATCGTCTGAGACCAGCTACCCAGACAGTTGCTGCAACAAATCGGTTAACCAAAGAATTTCTGCATAAACTGTCAGAAACCGTCTCAGGGAAGCTCATCTGAATGCTTGTCGTCTTCATCGGGGTCTCGACCTGACTGCAGTTCGTCGTCGTAACCGACTTGAGTGGACAAATGCTCACATTCGATGGCATCTGGCACTTTGGAGAAGTGTTCTCTTCATGGATTATTCCCAGTTTTTACTGTACAGGGCAGATGGCGGAAAGCGTGTATGGCGTTGTGTGGGTGAACGTTGGGTGAATGTTGTGGATCGAGTGGCCCATGGTGGCGGTGGGGTTATGCGTGAGGCAAATGGTGGTCACACCAGATACTGACTGGTTTTCAGACACCACAATACAGTAAAACTGCACATTTTAGAGTGGCCTTTTATTTTGGCCAGCCTAAAGCACACCTATG